GGCCGCCGCCGCCTTCGCTCGCTGCTAATTGCTCCTAAAGCGTTCTTCTCGGAGCGCCGGCCACCAGCATGGCTTGGAGACTCATGCTTTACTAATTTCCCTGTCTTCCAGGCTGAACCAATCCCCTCTAGGGAGGCTTCCCTCTCCTCCCCCCCCCCCCCCCGCCGACTCTTCCTCTCCTTTCAGCTTGTTTTCTAGCAGAGGATTTTATTTTATTTTTTTGGCAGTGAAGTGCTGAGAAAGCCACCTGGACCTTGTTGCCTGCTAGATCTCCCCCTCCCCCCGCTGGAGGAGGGGTTGGGTGGAGAGGTTGGAAAGAAGTATATACTACAGGCAGACCCTGGAAAAGCAGATTATATGCTGGTCAGAGAGGGTAAAAAGGGAAGAGACATAATTAGCTCCTTTTCCTTCTTCTTTGCCAGCTTCCACGGAGGTCTTTCTCCCTCCTTTAATGAATCACTGATTTCTCGCTTCCGTTGCTGAAATAAAAAGTTCACACTTTAGCCTGCTCTTCCTTTTAAGCCTCTCAAGATTTATTGTGTCTCTTTCCCCACCCTCGCCCTCCTTGTCTCACAAGAAATCAGGGCCCTAAATGACCATTTTCTAATTGCTAACATGACTCATTTACTGAATCACGCATCTGACTTCAAAGCAAAAGGGGCTTTATTGGGATTGCAAAGGCTTCCCCATAAAATTCGTCTGAATATTTTGCTTTTTTTTTAACTAATGCAGTTTCCTTTGCCAGAAAGAAACACATTTTCCATTTTCAAGACTATTTTAGAGCGATTTTTCAAGCTATTATTTTCCTAGAGGGGCATATGTTGTTGGTTTTTCCTTTGATCCCATTTCCCCTATTGGATTTATCATTTCACATACTGAATATTATGACAGATTCATATTTCTAGTCCATCACTGAACTATCAACTTTCCCAGTAATTAACAGGTATCTTCCATATGATGTACTATCTTTTAACACCAGGGTAAGGGATCAAGGACTAACAGGATGTGGGCAGCATGCAAGACATTAAATTTTGGTTCAGTATTTAGTATTGTAAAATAACTGTTTTGGAATGCGAGTAGGTGCAACATTCGCTAAGTGAATGGAGTAGCAGAGAAGTGAAGCGGTACAGAAACACAGTGAGTAGCTCACAGATATATGTAAACCCAGAACTTTTTTGAAATAGAGGCAGTATAATAATGCAGATCAGTGAAATGCAATGGAAAACTGCCTATGCAGCTACATTTGGCACTTGGAGTAGATCTTAATTTAAACAACAGAAAATGCAGAAAAGAACAAATAGTTCTAAAATTAGTCTGATTCATTAGATTAGGATAGTTAATTAATTAGACTGATTCATTAGATTAGGATGTTAAATATATTGTTAACTTCACAACAGAAATTAGAAATTATTTTCTCCAATTATGGTGTTTATTCTGGAGAGAGTCGGCTCCTAAATTTATGTGTTCAGCTTCTGGGGGTGACATTTAAACAGCCTTAAAAATGAAACCATTTAATGTTAGAATCAATATGTTTTATGATGTTGTTTATGGTACTTCAGAGTATTTATTCTGCTTGTATTTGCACTGAGTGCAAAGCATTTCAGATTTTTTTTTGTGAATCTGATTTAGGCTTTCCTTTTGTGGCAACTAATAAAAAAAAAGAAATAAAACCAAAATGAAAAGCAAAAGCCTACGTTTCGGTGAATGCCTGACAACTTACATGTGTGTCTACAAAGCTGATGTCAATGTTTGCTTGTTGTCTAGGTCATGAAGTGTACAACACGTTATTTCTAAAATTGAAGTTCTTTTGATTCCAGCAGCTTAAATCATAAATAATTACTATAATGTCTTAAAATTATACATTCGAATTATACATTTTTTCTCCTTTTCCTGTCAAATGCTGGAAAATACAATGAATTGGCCTTTTAGGATCTCTGGTGGCAGGAGAAAATAGTAGTTTGAGGGTCAAACATATATTTAACCCCTACTCATTAAAAAAATAGGTATTGTCTTGAATTTACTCAAGAATAGTTCTGCTTAGACCTGTTTCTAGCTTGTGATTGGCTGTATGCTGGTTGTAAGATCTTGTGATTAAGAACAAAAGCCACATATCCGGAATTTCATATTAAATCTGCTTCTGGCAGGTGCAATATTCAGTGCAGTACTTAAAACTACTACAACGCATAGAATCCTTTTCTATCCCATGTGATGACAGGGAGGGCATTTACAAAACAGTCCAAATGAAAAGCTGACATAGCTTTTTAGATTATATCTCATTCTTTTTTCTACTTTCTGTATAGCCTTTCTTTTATAGCACAGTTGAATCCCTAAATACCCCAGTACTTTGTATTGTCAGGTCACCTCTTAGGTTAGCCTGAGAAAGCCTGAGAAAAGTTCCACAGGAAAGATGCACTATTTAACGGAATTCAATCTGTCCCAATAGATTTGAATCACTAACATAAATGTATGAATGTAGATTATATCTCTGTAATGAGGCCTGAATCATTCTCAGTTACTTCAAAGGACTGAAATTCAACCTTGCTTTTTAGCAGCAACAATCAGACCTTAATGGGTTCCTTTATTAATTGTTCCGTTGCTAAGCTTGAAAAGCAGCTACCTTCAGTACAGGTCTCAGACTAGGTACCTACTGCTTCTAAAACAGTGTTTCTGTTTTGCCTTTTACCGCTCTAAGATTCTGTGAAAAGTTTCCTGCACTGCAGTTTTAGAAATGCTGGATTACATTGACCCATCCAGAATGAAATACAGAAAAAACTTTCTAAAAAATGTGCAAAAAGTAGAAAATATATTTTAAGAACTTTCTTTTCGGGCTGTTTTCTTTCCAAAGAATGTTCAGGGAAATGAACTGCACAGGTGAATTTTAATGAAAAATTGTCTAAACAAAATATTTTTTTGATATTTGTAGCAATAGCTGATGTCATGTTTTTGTCTTTTGATCAGCAAGGAGGGATGTTTTGAGTTTGTTTTGTTTTGTTTTGTTTTTTTTCCTTGTTAAGTAGATGACTTGAATCAGAGAAGGAGTATTTTAAGGTAGTTGGAATAGATTTTGCCTTGTATGATTTCCCTTAGGCAAGGCGTTTTCTTTTCTGATGTTGTAAATAAGTTCTGTCTATGCCTTTGGATGTTAATATAATCAACTCACTCTCAGATATCACCAGCCCCTCAGTTTGGATTGCTAGATAGCAATCATGAACATTTGCTGCTTAGAGTATGATGAGAGATGCACATGCATATTCTGTTCATGGGACTCAATTCTGTTCTTACTCAAGGTGTTGGGAAATTTGCCAGTGATTTCATTGAGAGAGATTTGGGCCAGGAACATCACTGCCAGAGAGACAGCTCTGCCAGAAATGAGGCGAGGAATGCCAAATGCTAGTGACGGCTCAGATGCCTCTGTCTATATGTCAGCTCCGAACTGCAGAACTTGCCAGTGTTGTAAAACACTAATCTTGGTTATAAAGAAAAGGCAGTGGCGCGTAGTGTCCACAATCACCAACCAGCAATGAGACAAGCTGTTTGATTTAAGATGCAGTGCTAGTTGCTGAAATCTTTACACTGTGGAGTTCATGACCACCAACAACAGGGACTGAAGGCCATTGCATTTTATCTGAATAAGGTATGTCTTAAAGCTTGAGAAAAAAATCATTACTGCAGTTGTTTTCTTCTGAGAAATCTGCAAAATCTCTATCATTGTATTTATCTCTATTTTTCACCATTTCATGTACCTCCATGTCATCTAAAAAGTGTCAAAATACTAATATTATTCTAATTGTATGTATAGATTGAGGTATAAGATAAGCCCTTAAGTTGTCAAAGATCAAGACTGAAGGTGGTGTAACTCATCTGTGTGTATGAAGCTGGAACAAGACATATAAAATCAGAATACTGTTTTGGCTGCCTGTAGTGGGATTTGGTTGTGTGTGGCGCATACTTCTTGGCTCCTCTGTATATACTCCTTTCCAACTAAGTATCCAAAACTAGAGAAGAACTTGAGCAGAGTTTAGCAGAGGTTAATAAAATGCTTGTTTCAGCATTTCTTTTTTATTTCAAAACTACTTGCATTTCTAGGTCAGACATAACAACTGACATGCGCAAAATGAGCATGAGATAACTGAAATGTAGTTCAGCCAGAGCTGGTTCCACCCAGCTTACAGAGTCACTAGTGAGAATGGCCAAGTGCCCTGCCCAGGCTGAGGCTAGTCCTCAGGAGGAGTAAGATGGTACTCACTCTGT